TGATGATTTACCTCTGCTTGTATGTACTTTTTTCTAATTACATCACATCATTAAAACACATTCATTCCACAATCTGGCATCAAATTGATATTGTGCAGCCTGACTCAGATTGCGACAGAGGCTTTATTAAACTTTATAAAACACTCACACAGAGTGACATGCAATGGACTCAATAGATGTTGTTGCACAGTGTAAAGGTGCCTTTAGCCAAGCAGATGTTGTTCAGTTTAATAAATAAATAAAGTCTCTCACAGTTTCAAAGCTGCTTTCAAGAGCAAGCTAGTATTGCCACTTTTGTCAGTTGAATGTCTTGTTTATGCTTTTAGGAATTTGAAAAAAGTATTTGGTGTGCCAGGTTGACAATTTCACCAGTACATGAAAACCAAATGAGACCACTTTAATTTTGTCTCACTCTGTTAAAAGCTTGCTAAAAAAGCTGCAGGTGCATTACTGTGTGCATTTGTTGAGGCTGAACATCAAAGCGAGCTTCTTCACTTACTTTATTTTTGTCCACTACCTTAAATTCATATTTTCCCATGTATCCATCTAATCATGCCTGGAATATGTAATCTTGAAATTACTGGAAGGCAGACTATTTTATATACCTCAGGTACACATCACAAGACGCGCACAAATCCTACAGTCAGGTTAATTGTTTGTATAAGCTGGATCATCTGTTTTTTGTTCAGCTTCTTTTTCTGCTTAGTCACAATCAAAATGGGAAAAACACATTTACCTTTTGAGAGACTAGCAAAGAAAATCCAGGGCCTATTTCTCTAACATCCTGCCCTCCTAACATATTATGGGTCTGAGAAAACATGAAGTGAAATTCTGATGGTGTTCATCCCAGGAAGCTGCAGTGCTGAAAGGGCAACCATAAATGCACTGCAGACGTTTCCAGAACATACAGAGTAAAAGGGAACTAAAGCATTTAGCTGAGGATGGAGATTTGGTGTAACATCAGTACTTTGTTTCCACATCATCATACAAATTGTTTGAATGAGCTGTTTATTAAAAACCTGTTTATACACTGAGTGTTAAACGTTAAACAAAACAGATTTTCGACTATGTCCTAATGACAATCACAGTTGAAAATAAAGATTTTTGTGGTTAAAAAATATATTATATATTTTTAGCTTTGGAGGGTTCTGCATGACATTATTGTGGTCCAGCATTGGTGGAATCGGAGACTTCATGGCCATTAAAACAAAACATAAATGGCTTTGAAAGAAACTGAAAATATATAGTTTTGAGTGTTCAGTGTTTCTTGTGATTGAAATATCTTGTGCTATGTCTAAGAAGGTCAAAATGGTAAAATGTGTGTACATGTGCATGTACTTGTACATGTACAACTGTTATGTAAAATAAAAACTGAGAAAATTGTTAGACATTTTTGTCCATGAATCACTTTTATTTTCATTTTATTTTTTATAGTGATCAATAGCCCTTATTGATCAATATGCCAAAAGAAAATCTTACTGTGTCTGTGTCTTTAAAAGTCTGTGTAACATTTAAAAGAGTCTGTTGGTAGAAATGGAATATAATATTCATAGGTTTGTGTTTTGTGGTGTACAAACGTGTTTTTGTTACCTTAGAATGAGCTGTCCGTGGAGGCTGCCATTTTATGTCGCCACATTTATATAGTAGCCCATAACAGAGAAACCAAACAAAAAAAAACAGAGGTTTAGTTAACCCATCATTAATTTCCAGTGGTGGAATACAATAAAGTTTATTTGTGAAAGCACCGTACTTAAAGGACCAGTGTGTAGGATTTAATGGCAGTAGATTGCAACTCCCTTGCCTAATCTTCTCCTTCCAAGCGCAAAGAAGGCTGTACGAGCAACTACGGTTGCTTGTTTTGCGGCCACCGTAGTTTCTCCCTTGCGCTTGGAAGGGGAGGGTGAAGGAGTTGCATTCTGCAATTGCACCGCTAGATGCCACTAAATCCTACACACTGGACCTTTAAACATCTGTTGTTTGTAATATTTTTCTGTAAATTGTGAATGTTAATATATATGATAATAATAATAAAATATATTAAATAAAAACAGCTAATCCTGATCCTCAATATTGGTTTTGAACGTTCAGACTTTTTCTTTTATTTTTTTCTGGAACAATCACCAGCACTGATTAAACAGCAACTGCTTTGATTCTCAGCATCTGTTGTTCAGCTTTCTAATGTACCACAATGGACCTTCAAAAAGGATGGAGAATGGGGATGTAATATGTCTAATACATGGAACTGCATGATACATATTGTTGTTGATAGGAAAAGCATAGCTAGAAACATTGATAGGACCCTCATACATCTTCATTTATCCCTTCGAGCACACTTTGTATAAACTTCACAAACAATCAAATCAAACACTGTACACTACTTACCCAGCACCAAATGTCAGACAAACACAGCTAACAACCAGCTGTTGATCATAGTAGAGCATTTAGCCAAACAAGCCAGAGGAGACAGACAGCATCAGCATTGTTTCAGTATGTGCCTGAAAATACCAATATATATACATTGAACTGATAAAGGACTCTAGTGGGTGTCATCAAAAGAGGAAGTAAGGTGATTTTAGTTGGATGGATAGGTCAACAAAACATTGGAGTTTAACACAGATTATTTTATGTTCCTAACCAACTCAATGTTGATTTTAAGCATGACCATGATTGTTCTGTAACCTTATAATTGTAACGTGATGATGCAAAAAACAACAACAATCCAATCCATGACATGCAAAGTCATGTGCTTATAAACTCTGCTGTAACATATCGTTGCTCAGGACATTTATTTTCAATGTTTCAAAAAGCTCTCTCCGTGTTACAAAGTTATTCGCTATATTTATGGTTTGTTTCACTATGGAGGAAAAGAAAGCATAATTTCAGGCAAGGTGTGTCCTTGAAATAAGGGGCATATGGTACGATTGGTTAGCAGTGAGATCTCAAATTGTCTGGAACTGCAAGACTATATTTTTTTAACTAAACTTAACCAAGGAGTTTGTATGTCTAAAACTAACCAACCATCCAGAGCCTTCTCCCCTACAGGTTGGCAGAGACCAAAACAGAGATGATAGGAAAGTGAATATTGGACTTACATGTGTTAATGCTAAAATAAAGTAGAATACAAACACTGTTTTTCTGGGTTGTTTTCTGGTAAGGACAGAGCATATTAACAATGGTCACAGGCCTCCTATAGTGAGATAAGAACTGTATTAGTAGACATTGTAGGCGATACTTGTTTTTTGTTAAAGCCCACCTTGTGTTTTGGATCCTGAGACAGCAGAATCTGACAGCTTCCATAAAACCAACAGCAGCTCAGGTGAAATGCCATCAGGTTCAATAGATTTGGATTCTAGTGCTGATGCTAAAGCTTAAGTTTGTGGGATAGGAACAGAGTATTTGGTGTATCTAATACATAATGTTCTCTCTCTGCAGACAACTGAATAATAAGCGGTCTGTGTTTAGGATATATGAGCCAGAAAGTACTAAAAACTGTAAATGCAGAAGAGTGTGGGAGCAAGCTGTGTCCTTCAGGGTTTTTTGTATGAGGTTTGATTCACAATGTAGAAATTCTTGTAGTATTAGTAGATGGTGCGTCCATCAACTTATACTACCTTATGACTTTTATGTT